AATGAGTTCTATGCAAAAAATACATCGAAAGTAAATATAAAGTAACTGTTATAAACGAACTAATTAAAAAAGAAATTGAAATCCTATTTAGTATGACTTCAATGAGATCATGTCTTTTTTTATACATGCCTTGTAGAATCATCTTCTTCACAGCCTTCAATTTGAACATGTACGAATAGTGTTGAATTGGTCACATCATTGTTCTTCGATCGCAATCGCATATAACGATAGCCTAAAGTAAAAACAAAAATTGAACAGTCTTAATCGATTTTGTTCAGCAAAACGTATTCATTGAAATACCTGTCTGCATGGTGCTCATTGGCAAACAAAAGTAAGCTAATCGATCATCACTAGTGAAAACATCATGATCATAAACAGTAAATAAAACAAGGCACATTTGTGGGAAACTTATTTGAAATTGAAATTTTTCTTTCCAAATCGGATTTAGTCCATTATTGTTCACAACATGTGTTTGGTGTACTTGTTGATCGCATGGCATTCCATGTGTTGATACTTGAACATACGGATCGGGTACGTCAGTAGTTGTTGCACTCGATCGTGACAAAAATTGAGCACTAATAATAGTGATAATTAATGTTTGTGGTTGTTCGAAAAGATTTGTTGAGAAATTAGATGGACTTGTTCTATAGTCAAGTGGATTGAAATGAGTTCGATTTGCATCGATCAAATAATTCGGTTTCAGTACATAACCACAACCACCATTGTCAGAAAATTTTCCATAGCAAAGTGCTGTTGTTTCATTATCTTTTTGAAAGTTCAATGCAACCATTTGCAGACCAAAATTCCACGGAAGTATAGGATCAGGGTTGCTTGAATCTTGCCGAAGTCCACTTGGATACAATCGACATAGTGTCGTAGCTGTTTGTTGAACTACACGGGCAGGTTCATCTCGTACTGCTCGTCCGAAATGATTTTCGGCGATATTTGGCGAGTGATAACAGACATCTGTTGATGATAGGCAAAGGAAACATCTGATAAAGACTAAAGTCAACATTCCACTTACAATTGGTTTTGGCATATTCGTATTCACGAAAGGGAACATTTTGAAGGTTGACAAAGAGATCGCCTAGATCCTTTTGAACTATCTAAAAAACGTCTTTGAAAAATGAAATAATGATAAAGAAGAAAAATAAAACATAACTTGCTCTGTGGATCAACAAGAGATTTGTCGTCATCTTTTTGGTCTCTCCATAATTTAGTTATTGTTGTTGGTGTAGGCAGTTTGATACCCTATCAAACACGACATTGGAATTTACTTATAAAAAGCTAGAGTTACTTACTCTAACAAGCACTTTGTATTGTAGATCTTTTGGTGATGGTAAAACCAATGAATCATCTGAGAATAACGGTTTGGTGATCAATTGGTCTTTATAAAACAAAATTAAATGTCAAGAACATGTTATTTCTATTCTTTATCACCTCCGAGAATTTGTTCTAAGATGCGAACCATTTCTTGTTGTTGTGTCAACGAACAATGATTTTCAAGATCAAGAATCACTGGATATCTGTGAGAAGAGAAAATCATAGTTGAGCGAATATCATAATATACATGTATTATTTATCAGTAGAAGAGTCTTGGTTGAGAACTAAAATTTACATACATAATTGACATTACTTACGGTGATTTACTGAAAAGATTCGGTTTTATTAAACGAATGATCGATTCAAAAAGACATGGTTTGACAAGTGTATAAGCATGTTTCACTATAGGTCGTCCATTGTCACCATCGTAGCAATCAAGTTCGACGGCGCGACAACCAGTACGCAGTAATTTGTTGTAAGCTTCCGGATTACTATCGCCCCATACTTGATTACCAAATAGATACCTAGGACATCAAATCAGTTTAGTCTGATATATGAAAGAATGGTATATATTAATTATACGTATTATGTGAAGTCTTGATAAAGTAGTCGGTTAATGGTCTGAAACCAGAAGAATAAATATTATAAATTGGAAGATGATTCTCTTCACTTACATACCTAGTCATATCTTGATAAGGTTGACAAACACACCATGGTTTCATCAGATCGAAATCTTTGGACAACATCATGCGTCGAAAACCTATGAATGAGTTGGGAATTCATGATCGTTAATAGGTATTTGCAGCATATACTCAGTGAAGCATGTTTGATACTCGAAATCCTCTGTATCAGAGAGTATTTTACGATTTGAAATAGTGAACTATTCACTTACAAGAACACTTACCATTAAAACTCAGAAGACCATTTTCTCGAAGTTCATTATCGATTTCAAAATCGTTAATTACTTGTTGTGCTTGTTCGAGTGTTTTAATGCGTTCATAGAAAAGTTTACCATTTGAATCTTTTAACAGTGGCAAGAGAACTCTTTGCTAGATAGGTATCAATATATTATTAATAAGAGTCATCACAAATATCACTAATGAGCTTACATTTTGACTGTTTTGAAGAAAAAACAATAGTTCATCGACAGTCATTTGAATTGTTTCAATTGATGTTTCGTATCCATTTTTGACATATCTATGTTAGAATATTGAAGCTTCATTGAACGAAAAATTATTGATTTTGCTCACTGTTGCATAACCTCATAGAGCTCTTTACTACGAATGAGTAGATGAAAGATAGTTATGAATTCATCCACATTTAAAAGACCATCACTACGCGTGTCTGCTTGCTGAATAGAAGAAAAAGAAATATGATAAGATCAGTACTCATGTCATAAATCTCTACTTTGAAAAGTTTTTCGAACACTGGTTCGGATATGTTGGCATTGAGTGAATCACAGAAGAGCTGACAACATTCCTGTTTCGTCAATGTGCCAGATTTGTCTTTGTCTGCCGCATGAAATTGACTCAAAATCCAACTAGTCAAAAGAATAATAATCAAAGAAACCACGTTTAATATGCTTCTTACTTTTTCTCTTCCTTCATATTTCTCGGTTCATTTCTTTGTTTTTGATCGATTAGATGTTGCAAACCTTGTACCCATACATCACGAGTGCGCTGATCATCAGCCATCATGTGAATTTCACTTCGATAATCATTGTAGATAATAGAGAATGAAACATTCTCCTAAATAGAAACACATTTTTTCTTTGTGTAGTGAATTGATCCAGAGAACAGATTTATAGTCAACAGAATGCGAACTCCTTTTGGTTTGTAGAAAATATTAGCAGAACAAGACGTTTAATATATTAGTCACAATTTTTTGATGAACGAACGTAACATCGCTTAACCAAACGTAACATATAGGAAATTTGATATCCTGGAAGGTAAGAATAGTTTCGTACCTTTTTAATTGGGTTAGATCGACAGTGTACTGAAAACAGGTTGCTGAAAAGAATCGTTCATTCTTACCTAGAAACATTGAGTTACCTAGCTTACTTTCTAGGAATATCTGATAAGGATATCTTATCTTTTTTTTGTATTTAGTACAAGAAAGAGTTTTACGCTAAAGTTACAGAAAGTCACGATGCATTAATATCCCGATCAAAAGTCAATAAAAAATGCGAATTGTTTTGAGATTATGTCAGTCTAGAAACCCTCTACTTATGGCCAAAATTTGAGCTTG